GTGTGAAAATGGGACATATTCCTACGTGAAATAATAAGACATAAGCACTGATGACTGTTCTATCATAATTGTACTATCTAAAGCATAAATTTGGCGAACGAAAAACGTTATATTTGAAGTCACCCTGAATGACTCACGTGGGCAAAACTTAAAACGAATATGTTCGCAATCCACAAACAAACACTTCATTAATGACGAGGATTTACCAACCCGCGAAAATCGTGTCAACTCGGATATTCCCCTAGCAATAAACTCGCTTCTAAACTCACTACTGTTCTACTGTTGGGTAGCCACAATGGCTAGACTGGACCCTCATGGAATGGTTCATGCCATAAAAGTCCAGCAACCGAACACTAATTAAGACGGCCGACCTTGTGTTCAGGGGTCTGGTGAACACTGGTCAATGGCCGCTCATTAACTCAAGATTCACATCTCACTGTTTTGATTTATAACTGTAATTGCCAATTAATTCATTGGCATGAACATAAGAAGTGCTCCACAATCATGACGGTAGGGTCTGTCATGGTGGCATGGTTGTCACAAATATCAATAAGCTGTGTGGGGTTCAGAACAGGCTCTCACTCACGGCACGCGGAGTATATCCGAGGTCAATTACTTGAGGTGGAATGCGACGCCAATTCTCTACTTGTGCTTGCAATAAACCATGTCTACATTGTAGTCGAAATGTCGGCTGGGTTAGGAAATGGTGTTTATCAAACAATGGTTAGTGTTATCGTTAACCGACCCCAAAACATTAGCATCACGATCCTTTAAATATGAAATAATGTGAACTGACATGAACTACTTTTTCAACTCTGTACATCGATACAATGTATGGGTTATGTTTTTAATGGAATAACCATGAACAGAAACTTTCACAAACCTATTAATAATTTTTGAAAATCATTGTGCCACTTTATCTTGTCACAAGCATCTACGGGCATCAGAAATAAAGGACACTGTGTGCGACAAGCATAGTTATAAATATAAATAAGCTTCAGTTTTAACACAGTTGTGATGAGATAGCACCTCCGCGTTATCACCCAGAGGTGACCTGCATATCACTGTGAAGAATGTTACCTGTCCAGGTAGGTGCGTTGAGTCTCGTCTCCAGCCTCGCCCCCTTTGCACAGGTAACTCTTCGATATTCAGAGCTGAAATGTCAATGTGTATGTCAATAAACTAACAGGATGTCAAACGTGGTACAATTCTTAATGTTAATGTCCTGCAGAGGCATAATACCCGTGAAACGTAACTTCCGATCATTCCTACTTTCGCTTTGCATCTTGGATAGGCAAGCCACTCATACAGTTACACACTTCAGTGTTGTTATTCTACATACACTCAAGCGCACCGAATTACATTAGAAATGTGATGCTGACCCAGCGTAATTATTGACTTCATATAGACGGGAGCTACGTATTGAAAACAGTAATTGTCTCTCTAAAACAAGTCGGGCTTTGCTCCTATATCAAGTTGATACGAATTGACATACCTGAAATATACTCACTTCGTACACGACTTGATATACCTGAAATATACTCTTTATATATTGTAAAAAGTAGGGTATATTTGACAATAAAAATGATTTCAGAAATAGAAAGAGGCACCGATGGATGACAATGGGTATAGGAAGGTGTAACATGACACTCAGCAGAATATGTTGATAGGGGTGAGGGGGGTAGCATATTGTAACGATGAAAACAATCAAGAAAGGCGACAAAAAATGAACGTTTGAGATGATTTGATCAATAAAATTAGTCATGCCGACAAGATTGGTCAACCATTCCTATATACGGCGTGTTATGGTCTGAATCAATATCCAAATGACACTTTGAGGGAGTCTTCTTGCAACGCCTGGACCAGTTCAACCGCGTAGCGGGTTGCCTTTGACGTCGGCGTATACGTCTCCCGATCATGTCCTAGACGTTCGCTAACCGGGAAAAGGTCAAGACTCATTGCTGCTGATTGCATTCTGGTGATGTTTTGCTGCTGGGGTTAGACAGTTACGATAAGTGCACAGTGAGCGTTATCGACTTTAAAGGAAAGACGTGGAACAGCATGGAGCTCAAAAGGGCACACCTATTGGCTTCTGGTTGTCCCGGTATTACTGTCCTGTGAACCTTCAATGCACAATATGCAGAAGAGTTTTGGCAGTCATAGTGATCCGGCCCCATATCTTTACAGACCCTACCCTCAAAAGGTTATGCTGCCTTACATGGACGTTCATTAAGACGCCTACAGACCTGTCCACGCCTATTCAGAAAGTCCAAAGTGAATCTGGACTAATTACATGAGACCATCGGAGGTTCCCCAAGTTTCTACGATCTAAATACCTTTGGCGTATGGCCAGAATGTGGCGTGCAAAGCTGGTACAACGTGTGGTCGGCAAGTATGGAAATGATTCGTCTGGTCAGAAGCTTGTACTCTGGTGGCCTGGCGCAAGCAAACATTAATTTAATTTAGGCTGTTGGGTTCGATTTCTTAAAACATGTTGTTTTGTTAATCGATCCGGGCGCCCTGTTTGGGGACGATCACTAGCATTGTGTGTCTACAAAACACAAACATATTGGCTACCTCTCCCTGAGCTATTATAGATTTGAAGCATGTCAGTTGCCCTTTGGCGTTCTGTGGGTTAAGATGACACATTCCGAATGTTATCACGAATACTGCATTAAATCAAGTGTGGAGAGTTTATGCATTAAGGTAGATAATAAATATCAACAATACTGATGGTTCAGAGGGCTTTGACATTCTTAGTTTTCAACATTTAAGCAACATTCCTTTGTTGAATGCGTGCATCCTTCACATTTCTGGGGTGAGATGTATTTCTTCAAAAACCTGGTAATTCCCAAGCACGAATACATTGTTGCCTCTAATAACTTAGATCTTGAACCCTGCAATTTGGCATACATTGGGTAAAGACAAAGAGTTTGAATGCATGAATATTCCTGCTACCACCTATCGTAGTAAACAAAATGAAGAAATGCACCCCTGAATGCTAGCATTCAAATAGCGTTGATTTCCGAATTACGGAGTTTCTTGTTGGCCACAAATGCCTCCCTATACCATTATGCCACCGCCTCCAAACGGATGAAATTCCTGGACACATGCTTGGGCTTGCCGTTCATCCTTCCTTCGATCTACCCTGACTCTACCATCGGCATAAAACAGTTTTCATCTACTCTCATCACCGAACATAAGCCGAGCCAAGCCATGTCGATGTCGAAGTTGCACAGTTGTCACTTGGCGTTGTCGATTGATGTGATGCAGCTGTGGTTTGAGAGTTTGAGCGACAGGGCTGTTTGTTGCACAAAACTGTGACATACCAATGACTCTCCCTCATTTCGGCATTATTTTGGTGTTCTTTCACTACAAAAATACCATTAAACTCGATCCATCGGTTTTTATAGTGCTGCACAAACGACACATGTAAATGGCGAACCATGCTTTTTTCATGACTTTCACCCAAATCGAAGTAGACCGGGCTCAGGTTATTTTTTGCGAAACGTTAATGTCATGTTTGCTCAGAATATTTCTTTATTGCTGAAACCCAGCATAGTTTTAATTTGATCTTTGCTGCGAAATAGGTGTAACGTTTCTTTTGTTCTTCAGTTTAGATTCAATATCGATTGACTTTGTGTACGCTGAACTCTTTTGTATGTATCATATATTTTACTCCGAAACATCTGCAGACCTCCCAGGTGATCTAATAGTGAGTCAATGTTTTCTCGTATTTAAATATGTTTCTCTGCTCATCAGCGGTAATGCGGAACTAAAGTGGAATACAATTTCTTCTTTTTATGCAGATCGCTAATGAAAAAATGCAATTCCTATAAAAATGGTCGTGTTGCATATTATCTGTAATTACTGCCCATTGCCATGTTTAATTTCTAGCCATGATATCACTCCCAAATGTATTATTTGATTGTCTATCATGTCATAACCTTCGTGAGGTGGTGACATGTTTAATAACAGTAAATTCCTGTGAAATAGTTATCTTGGCCACTTCTGAACACAGTGTTTTCCTACAAAATAGTAAAAGCTAAATGAAAATTATTTTTTTTCTCTAATTTATGTATGTTAAAGATGTTATGCCACTCATTGGTGGGGATACAAATGTAATAATTCAAGTTTCTAGGATGTTTGTGTTATGCTATTTTTCAAGAGACATATTTCTTTTCATACACAGGAGGAAAATGTCTAGGAGATTACCCTCATGACATTGTACAATGGGCGATGATGTTCACAATATATATCTTGGAGGGTATGTACATTAATAAAATAATATTATTTATTTTGAATATTACTAAGTGTGTCATTAAACATCAAACAATGAATACTCAACATGTCAGAGTTAAAGGGGGTACAATTACATGTGTACTATTCAAGGGATTTCTAAGTCCCAATACCTCACAGCCCTCTGGTAACTGATGCGTGTATTTTTGTTTGTATTCTCAAGTCCCAAAGTCATTTTTTGTAAATATTATTATCACTATAATGATAGATTTTAGTAGTAACAATTATTCAAATCACTCAATTTGATTATTGTGTACATGATGATAAAAGCAACTATTTATTTTAATGTTGGTGGTACCTGTAACTGTATCCAGGCATAGCAGATGTGGGATTTGAGATAGACAAACTAATTATTACTTAAAAAATAAAAGAAACTAATTACATACAGAAATATTCGAGTAGAAATTGTTGAAAAAGATTTCTTTAATGTTCCTTTGATTCACCCACCACCTTATTCTTTTTCTCATTTTTTAAAGGACAAAATACCATATGTAATACTCGGTATTACAAATTCTCCATCAGCAATAACTGGGAAACTCATTGAACCTTTCCTGGTAGCTTATTGTCATATATACGTGGAAGCTTTATAACAGTTTGGCCAGCAAAATGTCCTCATATATATGGAGAGACCATAAATATGTTATGGTCTCTGTTACATATGGAATCTAAATAATATCATTTAATATGATTGAAATATTTACAAAGGCTTCAAAATTACCAACTTAAGACAAATAACATACATTTAATAAACCCATTACTAATAGAGAATTGAACTTGTTATCTCATGACATTATTATTTGCAAGACAAAGCAACAGTAAGAGTAATCCTATCCTCCCTTCACAACTTGATCAAAATGGCTCCCATGTCACGACTATCCACCGATGCTTATGAAAACTGCCCTGCGGATGGTGCTCATTGGGTAGTGACGGCTAGGACTCCAGCTGCAGGGGGTTTCAGCCCTTTTAGCCATCTCTCGTTTGAAGACGCAGACTCACCTCTCAACATTGAGGAGGAGGCGGAGAGTACACAATCACCTTCTGGTAAGAATAACGGAACTGTTTCGGGCGTCTAGAAGCGCACCTCCCTATTATGTGGTGATTGTATGTATATATGCCAGATTTCTTGGCAGCTTTGAAGTGTTATTTGTATATATTTTATTTCAATTGTAATAAAATATTTTCAATGTATGCACTTTTTAAGGTATTCTTAAAGACTTAAAGAGAGAGGAGGGAGTTGGGGGTGGGGTGGGGTGTGGTGGGGAGATATACCAGGTTTAGCTACGTCACAAGTAGAATATGTTGTATGACGTCACACACACATGCTTAGGGAATGATCACGCGATGTTACATACGTGTTCGACGATGCTATGACATCACGCAACACGACCACCGACCCAAAATGGCGATCACCCAAGGCACAATTCCCCCAAACTCAACATGTATCCTTAGGATCCTTGAGAATATAAAGAAAACATTTCTCATTTGACTTTACATTTCATTAGATTGTGTTCAAATGCGAAATAAATTTCTATCTAGAAACATTAATATGTTACAATATTAACGGAATAACATCCCTGTTTATGATTTTACCCGACTAGAGGAAATAGGTAGAGGTTATTAGAACAGATGGTAAATAATACTGATTATCATGGCAAATATATGAGCTTGCCATGAACATATGGCTCATTGTGAGGACAGGCTTCGCACGGATGGGTCGGTTGGAGAACTGCTGGTTTGTTGAGGGCAGTTAACTTCATGGTACGAATTCATTTATTATTTCTCTTTTAACCAGCATCGGTGGTACATGAGCAATAGCATAACATATGATATACAGAATGTGAATCAGTGAATACACGTTCAGTTAATGCGACATCAAATTGTATTCTGCATATATGACTATTTAGTTAACTCTGCATTTACAACTGCCAGGAACCTACCAAGTTGCTTTAAGTATTTACATTTTGGAGTACAATACAGGCGTTTTAGATTCGAAATGTTTGGGCAGTTAGGTATTTATTATCGATATGTGTTATTCTTTGTTTTCTAAAAGCCTCATGACAATGAAATATATAATGAAATTCGTCTGTATTGCCTGCATTTGTGACCATCTCGTCCCATTCCTGGGCAAGCCGAATGTAGATTCGTGTCCCTCTCGAAGGTTTCGACATTGTCGCATGATGCTTGTAGACAAACTTCTATGTATTTGTTAAAGAGAACCATGAGTTTTGAGCAAAGGAAAATAGTTTTGAGAAAAGGAATAGGCGAATTTTTTTTTAATAACGCCATAAATTAGTTGAATTCACTTAAAATGTGTTGAATCATGTGTCATAAAGCTTGTAGACAAACCTCTATGTATTTGTTAAAGAAAAACATGAGTTTTGAGAAAAGGAAAATATTCTCGCCCATGGGCGAAATATTTTAATAACGCCACAAATTATGACACATGATTCAACACATTTTAACTTAATTCAACTAATTTGTGGCGTTATTAAAATATTTCGCCTATGGGAGCCCCAGTGAGAGGGGAGATTCAGACATTGGGACATGCTAAACTTGCTTAATTGAGAACTATAGCATTACAGTAAGGGCTGGGCGGAAGGGGACTGTGAGACAGCGAGCATGTATCACCAGAACTCGCGAACGTAATTATCCCGTCTTCTTTCTGGCTAACCGTTCCAACAAATACAGCTGTATGTACGTCGTTTTCGCATCCGTGTCGCAGCCCGTTTGCGAAACACACATATATTTTGTAGGCTAATGTATGTGGTGATTATTACCAATGATTATGATCAATTAAAAAAGCAAACACAAAGACGATAATATTTTCGCTGTTATCTTGCATGAGAAATGATTTTGATTTTATATATTTTCTTTTCAAAATATTGAATATTTCTATGTAATGCTATTTAATCAACTTAAACATTATTGACTGGCACAACAGCAAACACACTGCCCCAAAAATGTCGACCTTGATGGCGAAGCACTGCCTCATACCATACATATTATTCATAACTTCGAAACAGAAACAGTCGCGATAGAATATATGCAAATTCTCTATTAACTCTGTCCAGAATTAACGTTGTTCAGATTGTAATTGTTTGTTTTTCAACGCCGCACAAAGCAATATTCAAGCTGTATGACGACGGTCTGTACCAGTCTGGACCAGACAATTCATTGATTTACATTATGAGCATCGATCCACGCCTTTGGGATACGATGACATGCATCAACCAAGTCGGCGAGCCTGACCACCCGATCCCATTAGTCGCTTCTTAAGACAAGCATATCCTGACCTACCGGTGGTACCAATCACTAACACCTGTAAAAATATTTCAGCTATATGACAAGCATGAGTTGCTGAAGACCAATACTAACCGGGTCTTCACGGGGAAGGAATGCAAATAGAATAGATAGCATTACTGTAATAACGTCATGTAGTCTTGATGGCCATACCAGCTACATCATTTAAGGATTAACCAGTTCAGAAATAACATGCAATAAATATGTGTACAGTTACCTGCTTCTTTTAAACAGCATCCATATACCACATGCTTAATGAATATTAACTATTAAATACTATATTCAGTGGAACTTTACCATATTTCATTGATACCATTTTCGTACATTTTCAGATGCAAGATCGAAAAGTCTTAATTATCCTAATTGGGGCCTGCGTGGCATGCTTCATGTACCTTTTCGCGTTGCCATCATATACCGGAAGTCGCGGTTTTGTTTCTCCCCTTGATGAAGGAGTGCGTCAATTTTCATCTCTGAAGGCAGACACGTGGGAGGATACCTTGATTGGGAAATTGACATCAGGATCAGACAGGGTTAAGAGTAACCCCTACACAATCTTACAACATGCGTCATCTCAGCTTGTCTTCAATGAAGCCATTACAAAGTACTGGAATCCAATAGGTGGGGTCAATATGGATCTCCCATTCAAATACAAGTCCTTGACAAATTACCCTGTAAATGGAACAAAGCTTATTGTATTTGATAATTGTCCTGACTGGTTGCGCTCATCACTTAAAGGTAAGATGAAGCTATGCAAATACAGCAACTGTTTGTTGTCAGAGAATCGCTCAATGATTGCAGAGGCAGACGCAGTGCTCTTCAATGGCAGATCGATAACCCCGACACCCCCAACCCGCACCCCGGGACAAGTGTGGATAATATTCGCTTGGGAGAGTCCTGCTAACCTTGCACACACAATGACCACAATGCACACACTGAAATGGAGAAGAGTATTTAATTGGACTATGACATACAGAACAGATTCCGACCTCTTCGCGCCCGTGGGGATGTTTTTACCGACTCTGAAACTCCCCTCGTATCATGATCTTCTGAATATCGTGCAACGCAAGACGAAGGCAGTTGCTTGGTTTGTTAGCCATTGTAAAACAGTTTCAAGACGAATGGCATATGTCGAAAGGCTAAAGAAAATCATTGACGTTGACGTATTTGGACGTTGTGGGCCTGAGGAATGTCTAAAATCTAGTCCAGAATGCTTAAACATGCTAAACCATACCTACATGTTTTATTTGTCGTTTGAGAACTCCTTGTGTAAAGACTACATCACGGAGAAGCTGTACAAGACATTCAACGTGCCCTGCGTCCCGATAGTCCGGGGAGGGGCCGACTACAAACACCTAGTACCCAATGGGACGTACATCAATGCAGCTGATTTTTCCAACCCGGAGTCTCTGGGCTGGCATCTCAAGAGTCTTATGTCTAACACGTCTGCTTACATGGACATACTCATGAGGAAGGAACAGTACAGGGTTTTCGGGTCACATCATGGGAAGCAAATGGCATTTTGTGAACTTTGTTATCGACTTAATAACCCAGGTACTCTGTGGGACACACAGACAGATGTAGAGAAATGGAAAGAAGAATGCCATGCACCAAGAGATCTTGGCTAGGTGAAACCAAAAGGATTAATGTTCGAATAATAAATTTACAGATTAATTAAAAAACAGTGATTGTTGTAGGCCTTGAAGAGGCATGAGTATCGCAGGGACGGGGAAACAATTTGTTTTCAATTGAAGCAACAAGAACAAGTGGTTGACGCCACCACAACCAAAATGAGTCCGTGGGTTCGAACCAATGTGCTTTTTGGTTATCATCCTTGGTCAGTGGATGCAATAATCCCGATCATTTTAAAGGGATAAACCTCTTTGTCAATTAACGTGCATAAGTCTCAGAATTAAGAGGGCACACTTTGATATAACTGATCTACTTTTCAAAACGTTGATTCTCTCACATTCACCCTGAAGATTGAGATATCCAGTTTGTGATTATAAACAGATGTTCAACAAACAACATACATCTCAATATCTAACTATACACAAATAAAATAGTTGAAAACCCCCTGTATATATAACAATGACTGGTTGTACGAGCGTTGGCATTTAAACCCCAATAGCAATAAGCTCGGAAAAAACGAATGTTGTTTCATAAAGACACCTCTGACTATAAGTAAACATAAAAAAATTATCCTGTTTTCAAATTTTAATCATTATTCTCACATCAATTCAGAGGCACACATCAATTCCACATCATGATTCATGATGAAAAATGTCATTTTCAGTTCAAGATTACATTCATGACACAAATCATTGATAGCGGGAAACCCACAATGTGCCCGAATAACAGCTTACAGCCTTCGTCTCCTCCCTCGAGTATGTCGTCTGCTCTGTTGAAGAGGCAACTGCAGCCATTCCCCAATGAAAAGCTGCCTCCCATCGGGCCAGAGCATGTACCGGTAGGTCCAGTGCCTGTACTCGACGCCCCAAAATGTCCTAAATATGCTTTTGTGGTTAAGTGCAGGTGTTGCCACATCGGCATTCTGGAGAAAAGACATTACTGCTCCGGAAATGTGGTCGGGTGATATCGATGACGAGTGGGTTGTTGTCGAAATTATGTACAACAAATGATTGCAGGACGTTACGAATGTACCGATCATCATTGAGAGTTCCTTGGATCCACTCTACGCGTCACAGGCAACCTCAAACCATAACGGAACCTCCACCATACGGGGTCGTAGGTTTTACGTTCCTGGGTGTGTAGGCCATATTGTATCCCTCTAAACCCTTAATCGGCCATGTGTGACGTGGGGAAGGAAACTCCTTCCATTGGACCAATGGACTCTTCGTCAAGGCCTCAGATTCCAAGCTCTCCGGGCCAAACACCATATTAAACGAATTTTCCGATGATGATCGGCAAGGAAGGGACGCTTGATGACCCTTCTGGACTTCATACCTGCCGATTTCAGTCGATTCCTCAATGTTCTGGTGGACATCCGTCTATTGAGTAACCATTGGCGTTTCAGAACAGAGGATGTTGCAAATGGTTGACGACGTATAAGCTGAAGCAGGGCTATGACTTCACGCCTTGACGCCATGCGAGGTCTTCCTGGGCGTAGAAGATCCTGTACGGCATTGGTGTGGCCGTGTGATCGTATCAGTCTAATGATTATGGTATAATGATATCCTTATTGACGTCCTATGCTTTAGTTGGTCATGCTTGTCGAATGCACACCAACAATGCGCCATCTTTGCGCCTCTGATAATCTTTTTCGTGCCATATTCACAGACAATGCTTCAACAATGCAAGATGGTGACGTTAAATACCCACAATTGCGGTGTACATATATTGCAATGTTAATTTTAAAATGAATGGGTGGAATGCTGCACGTGCATGTCGTACTGCGATGTGACGTTACAGTTGCCATTGTACTGTCCTATTATTTCGAAGGAACCCCGAATCTCATTAAAATCAGATCTTAGTTCTCGCAATTGCTAAACAAAGATCTGAGGACATCCCATTACGGGTCATTACGGGTTGAAACGAATGACGTAAAGCTCGAGAAAGCTGCTTTCTAATTGGCTGATGTCGACTTCTTGTTAGTCGTTTCAGTGGTCGGTCAAAGTTCGCGAAGGGTCGTTCTGACGTGACCCGTACTGGGATGTCCTCAGATCTTTGTTTAGCGATAGAATTGAGATTGACAGAACCCCATTCTTGACATATTGAACACGAAACCTGCAGTAGTTACGAATGGGGATATTTCAGTATAACTTAGTTCCAGGTGTCCTTTGCTTGTTTCTTTGTGTATATATAGATCTTGGATAATTAATGTTGTCTAATGCAATAGAACTAAGTTGTAGGCCTATACATACACTATTAAGCACGTCCGTTTAAATTACATAACTTTCATTCTGGAAAATGTGCCTACAATATTACAACTTTGAAACAGAAAGTCACATGTACCTAGATGCTCTTAAACAAAGTTATAATAAGCACTACAAACCGAACGAGCTCGAGTACCAGTGGCTAAAGCGAACAACGAGTAAAGTGTGTGAAGCCCATTTCTGGCGTCTCTGGCCTGATATAACTTACTTGAATATGAAAACCAAATCCACTGACTACGAATTGGAAGCATGTGTTGTACGTTACTGTAGCATACTGTAAATACAGCCAGAATTATACTGTTTGCAAGTCCTTCAAAGTGTGAATGACCATGACCAGTGTAAAAGTGAACTAAGAGTGAACTTAAATGAAGTATCCCACATTTTGTCAAGTTTCTCGTGACCTTGACCTTCATTGGTTATCAACAATCTTCTCCAAAAAGAGACAATATACCCAAAGTTTGGTTAAATGTCTGTAGTTATAGTAGGAACACAATTTGGTTTGAAATGTGATAAAAACATGGTATATTAATTCTTACAATACTACAAAACTATGAGAAGCTGACACAGACGAAAAGCACAAGTAAGGTACACCGGTTTCTGAACGAGTTCGTAACCTGGAGATAGAACAGAAACCAACACAACACTACATGTGCATTCCGTTTGATGCAGGCGGCTGGGGGCCCCAAGGAAGAGGAGAAACCGCAACAGTGAGGCCAGATTTCAAATGTACGAACTGACACTTGTAGAGCTTGCCGATGAGACTGCTGATCTGCTATCCGTTTAGAACAAACTTGTATACGCCTTCAAATATATGCCATTCGCCAAAAGCTTTCCTCTGTTATATTGTTCCCCTCTCAGATAACATCGGTCAAGGGGGAACGGGTGGCCCGGTCGTCTCAGGCGCCGCGATTCGCTGTGCAGAGTTGCGTCCCTTGGACACGCCAGAAACCTATGATTGTGGGTTCGAATCCAGGTTCGCCCCGATTATGTTTCTAGGTTTGTCAGCACCATACCCGTGCTCGTGGGTTTCACCGAAGTGGTAAACGTCTGGGAACTGCATCACTTCGGGCTTTCCTCCCACATTAAGCTGACACGCCGTGATATAACAGGAATAATGTTAAAAAGGGCGTTAAACCCAACTCACAAACTCACTAACATCGGTCAAAACGAGTGCAAGGTTCAACAGCATGACCAGAGCGACCTTCTTTTCCCTCGAATTTGGACTAAAGATACGCAAAGGTCGCTCTCCTGACACTTCCCCGGAGTTATGCTGTGTGGAGCGTTAAACAACAAAAACAATAATAAATACTCAAGTTATCATGTGCACAATCTCTTTGATGCCTACTTCAAGTTGTCATCGAATCATATGTCAGGAAAAAATCAGGTCTGCACATGAGGTATATCAGGCAGTGGAAACCCAATTGCAGCAGTGGCAGAGCTCAAATATAAGCAAATAAACAAAAGTTCCTGTGACACCAATATTTTAGTGTATTTTTTAAACAATTAAAGTTTGGTTTTCAGTGTTGAAGTACATGTATTGAATCAAGTCACAAAAACGCAACTGCTACTGAAAAGCATGCATTCCATGCAAAAGTTAACTTTTAGGCAAGGATCATGCATTTCACTACCCAAGAATGGACATAAAAACATGTGCCTTAACGGGATTCCATATGCAATGTTTAGCATCATGCTGACAACATGTACAACCACTCAGAAAAACAACAAAATCACGCAATTATTCAACATTACGAAATGCCACGCCTGTCCGAAAATGAGCGTCTGCAAGCCATTGATATGCTTGAAGCAGGATCGAGTCAACGTGATGTTGCAAGATAATTTTACGTCCACAGACGAATGTCAGAGATCATCCTCGGAGAGGCAGGCCACGCGTAACCAATAATCGACAAGACAACTGGGCTCGAACAACACATCTACGAAATCGATTCCAGCCAGCAACAGTGACTGCAAGAAGCATCCCTGGCCTTCGACGAATATCTTCACAAACCGTACGTCGTCGCCTCGAATTGTCGCCAGGAGACCCGCCAGCCGTCCCATTTTGACAGGAAACCACCGCCAAGCACGTCTACAGTGGTGCAGACAGTGTCTACGCTGGACGGTAATGCAGTGAGAACAAGTCCTATTCACTGCCGGGTCTCGTTTCAGCCACAGCGATTGACGGATTCGAGTTGTACCGACGTCGAGGTGAACGTTACGTCAATCACAGCAAGACAGCAATTACAGCAAGACAGAGGATCCGTTTGATAGTGGTAGAGGGAAATCTCAATGGACAGCACCACCGCGACGAGATTATCGGCGCTGTTGTTCTACCGGTTTATCGTCGTCATGGCCCAGGCATTACCTTTCAACATGACAACACCCGGCCTCATATTGCTCGACTTGTTCAGGACTCTCTTCAACAAAACAACATGAATGTCATCCCCTGGTCGGCTCGCTCCCCTGATCTCTGACCAATCGAGCACATGTGGGATGAGATGAATCGGCGCCTTCGACGTCAGCCACGTGTTCCACAGACACTCCATGAGTGACCATTGAATGACATTGAGACTGGGAACAACTGATTGATTGCGTGGCACACATCAGGTCTTTGTTGCAATGTCGCATATGTTTAGCAATACTGGATGGTTGATGTTAGACTTTCTATCAGTGGGTGGATTTGATTTTGTCTACAGGGATTCTTGATGTTATCTGAAACAAAATCCATTATCGTTCTATTTGT